CAAAGGAAGGACATTAACGGAGAAGATACAACAATAAGTTGTAAAGACTAAGACACACACATTTCGCCGGCGGAGCGAACGGCGGGTGCGTCCCGCGTGCAGGAATACGTCGGGCTATTATGTTCGGATAGAATCTTCAAGTGTTGTTACGAGTATGTTGTTCGCTTTAAATTATTAGAGACGAATCAAAACTTTACACGTTAAACAAGCATGATAAACGAATGTTGTGGATAAATCATCGAAGAAAAACTAGTGGTGCATGGCGTCGTGCCTTAAGGCAGACTGCTGGAAGTTTCCGCACTGAAAATTAAATTAAAAAAAAAAACAGAATTTTTTGAAAACTGAAAAATTCACTTTTTTTATTTTTTTCATATTTCGAAAATTTTTAAGTATTTTTCAAAGTAATCTGTGTTAGAGACGAAATATCGAAGCACTTTGGTATATCTTTGGTATCTAACACGCAAACATTTGTAAGAAACTCATGGAAATGTGAAAAACCGCTGGATCAGTCTTTCAAAAAAAATTAAACAATTATTCATTATGTCAATACAAGTTGTATGACAGTTGTAGATTCATAATTAAGAATGCAGCAGAAAAAATACTAACCTAGTGGTGTATGGCGTCGTGCTTTAAATCAAATTGTTGCAACGTGCCGTACCAAATTTTAAAATTACATATTTTGTTTAGAAAACTTTGAAAAAATTCGGTTTTTGAGAATTATAAAATTATTGAAAAAAATTGACTTTTTTGAAAAAAAATTATATTGTGAAAAATTTTGGAAATTTTGAACTTTTTTCAAAGCAATCGCACTGTTTAAGCTGCGTAAAGACAAAATATAGAAGCGCGTAAGCGCCGCGTTGCAATCTAACGGATAAACAACGGAATCCATAAAAATATAAACAAAGTTTATACTAATTATTAAATATTTGATAATTTGTTGTGCATATGTTTAATGATCATTTTTGACCGCTAAATGGTATTTTTTTACTTTTTTTAATCGATATCCGAAACTGCTAGACCTGCCTTCCCAAACATTCAATCAATTATTCATTTTGTCAATACAAGTAAAATGTTTTTTTGAATTATTGAAATCGGACGCTGGACCTGCGTTTGCCGAAAGCTAATCAGCACGTCTCCATATCAATAGGAACGGAATGTTTTTTGAAATATTCAAATCGGTTTATCCGTGTTCTTAAAATCGTCGACAAAAAATTGTATCCGAACACACACACATACAATTTTTTCCAAGGTATGCCAAAATGTTCAAAAACCTCTGAAACATGGTATATAAAAATTCTCATTTTCCCGTTTTTGCGATTACTACAACTTACTCTACGAAAAGTTAATGATAAATATTTTAAATAAATTAATTACTTCAACAAATCTAAAGTTTTCATTATGTGTTCATAAATAAAGGAAACCTTGAGCATCTTGAATCAATTCTAATGTATTAACCCTTTGCGCTCGAATGACATATAGTAGCCAATATGTAACGTCAAAAATATTTAGAAAATGTCTTTAATTAATTTTCTAAACATTTTTTTTGTATGTTTGCAAATAATAAAATTAAGTTACTTGTATATTTTCGAAAAAAGTCTCAAGTGCTTCAAAGTATTGAAAATGGTTAAATGTGTAATACAATACATTGTGTATTGTGAATTTTAATTTTTCTAACATAGTTATTTTCATGTATTATAATTGATTTATAAAATTTTTCGAATTAGCTTCGAAACGTCGTAATATAGATAGATATGGATTGCATGAAGTTGTATTGTTTGAAAGAGTTGCGAAATAGAAATCTTGTGAAAACCTATTTTTTAAAACATAAAAAATAACTATTAGTCCAGTTGTATTCAATATTATATATATATATATATATATATATATATATATATATCATATATATATATATATCATTCAATTCCCTCTTCAGTATTTTATTTTCTATTAAAATTCATAAAACTGATTCATTTAAGCTTAATTTAGGTAAGAATCTCGGAATTCGAGATACCCAGCTGTAAGTCTATAAATATTTGTATATTGACACCTAAAATTTGTCTCAAAACCTACTTATGGTAGGGTGTACGCAACATATATAAGTTTTGAGACAACTTTTAGGGTTGACACAAGTATTTACAGACTTATAGCTGTGTATCTCGAATTCCGAGGTAAACTTACTATGACTGGACTATGAAGAATATCAGCGGAACCATGTTATTATAAATTATTGCAAGCACAGGACATCCAATAGATTAAAGTGACTTATCTTCATCATAAAATTGCGTAGAAAATTTTTGTTGGGTATCAAAATAAGATTAATAATATTTATATTCCCGAAAATCATTTTGAAATATACACATTCCCACTAGTATCGTGACTAATATTTAATTTATCTAATACCGACATGATACTTCGACACCGCATCAGTCTCCTCCGTCTGGGTTGATCTTTTACCTTTTACCTCTTCATATATATTTATTCAGAAAATGCGTGCATATAATCTAAGGGGTGTTTTGTCACCTCGACTCCGCATACATTACCTGTAATTATGTTTTATGTTTTATGCGTCCACCCTTTTGACTCCGCTCGTATACCTACGCATCCCTTCATATAGACACGTAGCGCTATGAAAAACCATTAAGGAGTTTTCGGTAATATATTATCAAAGAAATTTATAATATGTGTGTGCTGTGCCGAAATATTAAGACAAGGGATGTTGTTCTTCATGCATATAAATATACAGAAAGCATTTGTAATTTTCGACGAGTTGAGTAATGAAACTGGCCCGATGTCATGGATACATGTCTTCTTATGCCGAACAAGACAGATGAGGAAAAATGATGGTATTGTATATGCAATCAAAGATCTATCGTTTTGAATTATCCAAGAATTTATTCAAAATTTAAATATATATATATATATATATATATATATATATATATATATATTAGGTTGTCAAATATCTCCCTTCCGCTTTTTTGCTCTTGGTTTATAATACAAAAAGGCTAATAAGGATATTTGACAACCTTATATATCATTGTTTTCTTTTTCTGGGTGAGTGATTTATATCTACCACTTTTAACGCATTTACAAACATATAATACATTTCTAAACAAGCAAAAATCTATATAATTAATTATTCATGATCATTTGAGGCTACAGATTTTGTTCATAAAATATCAACTAAGACAATAGTTACTCTAAACTAAAAAATATATTATAAACGAATGCTATTGGTTTTAACTGAACTTCCAAAACGACCCATCAAACAAGAAATATTAAAAATATCAAGCAACATCCTATTACTATAAAAGAAATATCACCTTTAAGCAAAATATTTTAGAAACAAAATCGCAATTTTGTTATTATTCACAAAGATGACAATTAAAAAAAAAGAGTACAATACGCAGCCATGTGCTAAATGCAAAATAAATATATATTTTCTAAAACAGCTATCAGAATTTAACAGGTCTATCAGGTCTAACAGGTCTGAGCTATCGTAATAAATATTCTCCTTAAAAACTTTTTCAGAAGACAGCCCAATGTTTGGAATTTCTCTAAAATCTATAAGCTATCGTATATAATATACTCCTAAACGTCACTTTTTTTTAAGACAACTTAACGGTTAACCTATCTCTGTTTAATATTTTAATTATTAGAATTTTTCAAATAATGATGATATTAAAGCAATGCCAAAAAGAAACTATTTTCATTTTCACCATCTACATTTTAAGTAAAAACTGATATCATTATTGCTTGAAAATATGGTTGAAATGAGAGTAGAAACACTTAGTTCGCAATTTCAACCATTTGTTTTTAACGTTTATTGTTACAATTTATATAATAGTTTTTTATTGGTGTAGCAATGCCAAATAAGGGTTACTTTCATTTTGGTAACTTATTGTTATCTGTATATCCAAGTGAAAACCAAAACTAGCTGTAAGTGGAATTCTGTCTTAAGGCAATTAGGGCATCGTGCCTTAAGGCAAATTGCTGG